GCTAACCGTAACTGGAGCTATTGGTACTACTATTAGTAGCAATGGTGGCACCTTCGTTCTTGGTCTCGGAAAAGAGGTAGGACTGACATGACTGGGAGGAAGAGGGAACGCGAGGTAGAGAGGAAGAGACGGACGCTGGGGTTGAGGATGGCGCTCACGTCGGAGAAGCGGCTGAAGAGGTTGAGGTTGAAGAAGAGCGCGGCAAGAATGAACATGAGAACAGAGGTGGCCACCATGGTGCCCTCATTTTTCTGGTTGGCGTAGGAGGAAGTCAGGTTATACGCATAAGGGTAGACTGTGTTGTTGCAGAATGAATCTAAGCCTTTCATCATCAGTCACATGAAGCTACTAGAGCTGGCTACTGAATTCCCTTGAATGTATTGAATTGGCATATCAAATATATACACAGACCATGAGGTGTGAACACGGAATTGCTTACCTGAGCGGATAAATTAAATGTACACAAAGTTAAAGCACCGACAATGGCATGATCATTTGGTCAGTAAAGCTTTGCTTTATGTTCTTTTACAAAGCCTAAATCAGAATCTCTCTAGCTTGAATTGCTTACCTGACCGGATAAACATAACCATTTGAACGTAACACGAAGTTACAGCACCGACAATGGCATGATTATTTCCTTCATAAAACTTTGCTTTAGCTTCTTTTACAAAGATTAAATCAGAATCTTTCTACCTCGAATTGCTTACCTGACCGGATAAACATAACCATTTGAACGTAATAATAAGTTACAGCACCGACAAGCGACAATGGCATAATCATTTTGTCAGTACCATCTTTTCTTTTTGTTCTTTCTGCGAAGCTTAAATCAGAATCTCACCAGCTCGAAACCCTACCGGATAAGCATAACACAAAGTTAAAGCACTGACAATGGCATCATAATTTTGTCAGTATCAATTTTGCTTTATGTTGTTTCTGCAAAGCTCAAATCAGAATCTCTCTAGCTCCAATTTCTTACCTGACTGAATAAACATAACACAAAGTTAAAGCACCAACATCACTTCATCAGTATCAACTTTTCTTTTTGTTCTTTTTGCAAAGCTTAAATCAGAATCTCTCTAGCTTGAATTCGCCTTTAGTTTACTTTAGGGAAATTTGTAATGTAGACCTAGTGATAGAAAATGTGCTCCGAAATAATTGTTTGTCCTTTTCATGCAATTGCGCGTCATCATCTGGTAGGGCTTTCGAAGCATATCTTCTTTCACATTTTGTTGTTTTTCCATGTGTATGCTTTCTATTTGCCCCCCTCCCCCCCGTCCTTGCTCGCAGCGACAGCTCGTCACCAAGCTGACCGTAACTGGAGCTATTGGTACAACTATTAGTAGCAATGGTGGCACCTTCGTTCTTGGTCTCGGAAAAGAGGTAGGACTGACATGACTGGGAGGAAGAGGGAAAGCGAGGTAGAGAGGAAGAGACGGACGCTGGGGTTGAGGATGGTGCTCACGTCGGAGAAGCGGCTGAAGAGGTTGAGGTTGAAGAAGAGTGCGGCAAGAATGAACATGAGAACAGAGGTGGCCACCATGGTGCCCTCATTTTTCTGGTTGGCGTAGGAGGAAGTCAGGTTATACGCATAAGGGTAGACTGTGTTGTTGCAGAATGAATCTAAGCCTTTCATCATCAGCCACACGAAGTCAGGTTATACGCATAAGGGCTACTGAATTCCCTTGAATGTATTGAATTGGCATAGCAAATATATACACAGACCATGAGGTGTGAACACGGAATTGCTTATCTGAGCGGATAAATGTACACAAAGTTAAAGCGCCGACAATGGCATGATCATTTCGTCAGTAAAGCTTTGCTTTATGTTCTTTTACAAAGCCTAAATCAGAATCTCTGTTGCTTGAATTGCTTACCTGACCGGACAAACATAACCATTTGAATGTAACACGAAGTTACAGCACCGACAATGGCATGATCATTTCCTTCATAAAACTTTGCTTTAGCTTCTTTTACAAAGATTAAATCAGAATCTTTGTACCTCGAGTTGCTTACCTGGCCGGATAAACATAACCATTTGAACGTAATAATAAGTTACAACACCGACAAGCAACAATGGCATGATCATTTTGTCAGTACCATCTTTTCTTTTTGTTCTTTCTGCAAAGCTTAAATAAGAATCTCTCCAGCTCGAAACCTTACCGGATAAGCGTAACACAAAGTTAAAGCACTGACAATGGCATCATAATTTTGTCAGTATCGATTGTGCTTTCTGTTGTTTCTGCAAAGCTCAAATCAGAATCTCTCTAGCTCCAATTGCTTACCTGACTGAATAAACGTAACACAAAGTTAAAGCACCAACATCATTTCATCAGTATCAACTTTTCTTTTTTTGTTCTTTTTGCAAAGCTTAAATCAGAATCTCTCTAGCTTGAATTCGCCTTTAGTTAACTTTAGGGAAATTTGTAATGTAGACCTAGTGATAGAAAGTATGCTCCGAAATAATTGTTTGTCCTTTTCATGCAATTGCGTGTCATTATTTGGTAGGGCTTTCGAAGCATATTTTCTTTCACATTTTGTTGTTTTTCCATGTGATACTTTCTATTTGCCAAAGATGGTCTTTGGAAACATTTGTTCAATATGGTGGAAGCTCCAAGGCATGTGCTCGGCTGGGGAGGATATTGCTAGTTCAGTATTAGTACATACAATTCCCTTCTCCAAAATCAGTAGACCATCTAAGACCGAATTATCCCTGTGAATTTGCATTAGTACGATAGTACTCTTCCCGTTCATTA